CTGCAGGGAGCCGGCGACGCCCGCCCCCCGGGGCAGGTGGCCCGAGGCAGCGCCAGCGCAGTCCCGTCCAGGGGAGGCCCTGGGGAGGGCCGCGGAGCAGAGGGCGGCAGGCCGTGGGCGCTGCCGGGGGCCGCACAGTGCCGGCGCTCTCCGGGCGGCAGGGCTGCAGCCCGGGGTGTGAGCCGTGCAGCCTGCCGGGGAGAGGGCGGGCGGAGGGGAGCCGCTTCCTGGGGGGTGCATTTGTGTTCGTGGGTCTTCAGGAGCTGGGTCCTTTCCTGGGGGCAGTAACAGCCCAAGCTGTCCCGGCCTGCCTGCGGCCCGGACAAAGGCGCAGCTAGGGTTGCCTAGTGGCCCTGGGGCTCGGGAGACACGCAGTGTGCAAGCCCAGGACCCTGGTGGCCTGGCCAGCTGGCCTCTCCCAGGCCCATTGGAAAGTAACGTCGGCTAAGACCCACTTTCCCTGGTTTTACAGCGATTTCATTCGCCTGCCACTGGGGGAAAATCAGTGAGCATTTTGGAGTATCCCCAGGGTCGATTTCTAATAACTCCATAAGGAAAATAACCCAAAGATTCAGGCCCAGCATGGTCTCCAGTTGGCTGCCCTGTAAGTCTCCAGACAGACGTAACCCTGGCTGGAGCCAGGAGAGGGGCAAAGGAAGCGAGGTTTCCTGTTTGTGGCAAAGTTCACAGCCAGCGTGCCCCTGAGAGCAGCTGCAGAGACGCTGCTTCTGCATTCAGAGCAGGTGGCCAGAGCCGCCGAAGCTAGACACCTGTGCTGCCTTGGCTGGGGCGGTGACCAGCGCAGTCCCACAAAGACTCTGGAAGGGACCAGCTGTCACCACCCTCTTGGTGGGCGTGTCCACTGGCCTGTGGCTGGGGTGCTCTTCAATAGCCACTGCCTATCCCCTGACCTTACCATTGCTCAGAAGGGAAGGGCAATGGACCGGGGGTCAACAGCACCCTCACTTCCCTCGCCTGTCCCTTGGGTGGCCATTGGTCCACTCAGAGAATTTGATTATCAGTGATTGAGTTTGCCTTCTATAGTGTCCTTTGCTGGGGCCGGCACATGGTGTAGAGGTTACCTTAATGGACTCCCACATGGTCAACTGTGGTTTGAGCCCTGGACCTGGTGGCTTGAAACTCACACTGGGCGCATGTGCATGCGTGCCCAAGATCCCAGGAGGAGAGTGAAGGAGAAAGGATTGTGGCGTGGCCATCCCCCTGGGGGGTGATTTCCCACTTTCCCTCTCACTGTCTCTGTCTCTCACGTGAGTGTGCACACCCTAAGGGGAAAATAACAGAACTTCTGAAAAAGAAAAGCCCTTTGCCACCTAGTAGCACCCATTCACTGTAGGTAGACAAGAATGTGAACAGGCCCTGCTCCGGCAACAGGGCAGGGCACTCTGAGAACTGGAGGCCACGTGGAAGCTCAGGGTTCAGCGCCCAGCTCAGCCTGAACGTACCAGCCACACATGTGTGCCCATGATGCTGGTGCATGTAATGTGTGTATATATGGTGTGTGTGGTGTGTATAGTGTGTTTAAGTGATGAGTGTATGGTGTGTGGTGTATACGGTGTGTGTGGTGTGTGATTTTCTGGTGTATGGTGTGTATGGTGTGTGGTGTTTGTGAGTGTATGGTGTGTGTGCATATGGTGTATGTATGGTGTATGTGGCGTGTCCATATGGTTTGTGTCTGTGAGTGTGTGTGGTGTGTGTGTGTGTGTGCACGTGAGTGTGTGGCGTGTGTGGATATGGTGTGCATAGTGTATGTGCACATGTGTGGGTATATGGTGTGGTGTGTGTGTGTGTGTATGGTATGCACGGTGCGCACAGTGTATGTGCACATGTGTGAGTATATGGGGGTGTGTGTGGATATAGTATGCACGGTGTGCACAGTGTATGTGCACATGTGTGAGTATATGGGGGTGTGTGTGGATATAGTATGCACGGTGTGCACAGTGTATGTGCACATGTGTGAGTATATGGGGGTGTGTGTGGATATAGTATGCACGGTGTGCACAGTGTATGTGCACATGTGTGAGTATATGGGGGTGTGTGTGGATATAGTATGCACGGTGTGCACAGTGTATGTGCACATGTGTGAGTATATGGGGGTGTGTGTGGATATAGTATGCACGGTGTGCACAGTGTATGTGCACATGTGTGAGTATATGGGGGTGTGTGTGGATATAGTATGCACGGTGTGCACAGTGTATGTGCACATGTGTGAGTATATGGGGGTGTGTGTGGATATAGTATGCACGGTGTGCACAGTGTATGTGCACATGTGTGAGTATATGGGGGTGTGTGTGGATATAGTATGCATGGTGTGCACAGTGTATGTGCACATGTGTGAGTATATGGGGTGTGTGTGTGGATATGGTATACACGATGTGCACAGTGTATGTGCACATGTGTGAGTATATGGGGGTGTGTGTGGATATAGTATGCATGGTGTGCACAGTGTATGTGCACATGTGTAAGTATATGGTCTGTGTGTGTGTATGGTATGCACGGTGCGCACAGTGTATGTGCACATGTGTAAGTATATGGTCTGTGTGTGTGTATGGTATGCACGGTGCGCACACACGATGTGCACAGTGTATGTGCACATGTGTGAGTATATGGGGGTGTGTGTGGATATAGTATGCATGGTGTGCACAGTGTATGTGCACATGTGTAAGTATATGGTCTGTGTGTGTGTATGGTATGCACGGTGCGCACAGTGTATGTGCACATGTGTAAGTATATGGTCTGTGTGTGTGTATGGTATGCACGGTGCGCACAGTGTATGTGCACATGTGTAAGTATATGGTCTGTGTGTGTGTATGGTATGCACGGTGCGCACAGTGTATGTGCACATGTGTAAGTATATGGTCTGTGTGTGTGTATGGTATGCACGGTGCGCACAGTGTATGTGCACATGTGTAAGTATATGGTCTGTGTGTGTGTATGGTATGCACGGTGCGCACAGTGTATGTGCACATGTGTAAGTATATGGTCTGTGTGTGTGTATGGTATGCACGGTGCGCACAGTGTATGTGCACATGTGTAAGTATATGGTCTGTGTGTGTGTATGGTATGCACGGTGCGCACAGTGTATGTGCACATGTGTGAGTATATGGTGTGTGTGGTGTGTGTGTGGAGGAGGCAGTTAGAGGGGCCCTATTGTCTTAGAGGAGAAGAGTAGAGCTGGCGCGTAAGTGGCCCCCTCTCCCAGAACTGAATCTGGCTCCGAGCTCTCTGATTACACTTCCTGTCACCGTTGGCTATGTCAGCCACAGGGTGCCTCAGGTTTTTGTTTCTGTTTTTTTGGGGGGTT